ATTCCCTGAAATACTAACTTAATATTGAAATTGTAACCCATCCCTCTATTAGATTTTGTTCGTTTCTCAGTTCAAAGTATCTCCTCCCAAAGTTAAAACATTTTGAAATGAAACACCCTATATGCCAAACAATTTTTATTTTATAGGTGTCTGTCAAGAAAAATTCAAGGTGATAAGAACTATTTCATTTTGCTCAAGGAAATCATTACAATCCTGAAACGATTATTTAAAACACGCCCATTAAATTTAATTATTTTCATAATTGGCTCGTCAAGTACCTGAGGTAAAAAATGAACACAAAATACGAGTACAAAATATGCAACAATTAAATTTTACATTAATTAGTTTGTCTTTATAAGTAAACATACCACACCCTATACCCCACACCTTCTCCGAACCCCGCTTACCGAACAGCGCTGAACCATTTTTTGAGCACAACTCGTTGGCAATAATTAAAAAAAACTTAATTCGTGCGCTAAGAGTGCCTTTGCAAGGAAACAGGATACATGCAGAGCTTAGCAACTTAAAACCCAGGCTGGATGGAGTGAAAACTGCTGACAACAATGCGATTTGACAGCAAATTAACATACGAGATACATGCGAACACATTTGCACTAAAGCGAATGTTTCGAATAACAAGCAAAAGTATGCAGTTTCAAAAATTTTAATAAGTTTCGGGTTGACTTAATGTTTGTTGGATATGTTATTTTGTTGTGCATATAAAACAAAAGCCAAAATTAAAACAAAAAATTTATATGCAATTTAAAATTACATTAAAAATTTGACGGCTGCACTAAAGCACATAGAGGCATTTCGATCTTAAGGTGTGAAATTCAATATCCGAAAACTAAGCCTAAGTACACAGCAACTAGAAGTGCAATTAATAAATTTATGCCATATATTTTCACGTGTAACGAGGATTTCATTTCACTCACCCCACATTCCTCCGTTCAACGAATGCTAAATAAATGCCTCAGGAACTCCAAACTTGTTGTCAGCAAAATAATAAAATTTTCTATGCCGGTTCTTGTATCTCGAGCGCTCGGCTCTATGCCAGAAAAAGTACATACTACTGTCTAAGTTTTTAAGCTATGAGATACTCGACATGCCGCACAGAATTCCTCACTCCTCAAACACAGATAGACAAACACAAAACAAAAAAAAAAGTAAAAGGAAGAAAACAACAACAACAACAACAACAACAACAACAAATAATGTACTTAAATTTTAATGATAATTTTATGCAAATCACATGTGCGTACGCGTACGTTTATTTGTATCTGAAGTCTATACTTCCGACAGGCGAAAATAAACTTAACACCATCTGCTTCCATTCGGGTGTGAGAATTGAGAATTCCTTCGCACAGCTTCTTTCTTCCTCCTAGTACGTTTAATGTATGTTAGCATTTACTGGTGTTTATTGGTGTGTACTGAATATGTTTATGAGCGGAAAAAATGGCTCTTGCTCCTGCTTCTGCTTCTACTCCTGCTCCTGCTCCTGCTCGTACTCCTGTTCTTTCATAAAATTGTTTTAATCATCAATCATATTTAAGAATGAAATATGCTCGTACTTGTCTTCTTCTTGCCTTGGCAAGGAGTCGTGAGTAGGCGGAGTTGGACTGCTTTTTATATACCCATTATAAAGATGTCTTGTTGCATTAATTTAATTTTATATATTATTTATTTTTTGCCCAACTTTTATGCTCGGTGCCTCATAAATTTTCTTATCATATGAATTTAATGTGTTTGTTAATATCGTAAATGTGTACATGGTTGACCTTTTCTTCTTTTCAAAAGAAAAAATATCCTTTGGGAACTAAGAATTTCTTTAAATTAACAAAAAAAAAAAGGAGAAGAAAAAGCTATCAACAATGCATGCAACAGCTTAAAGAAAGAAGAATGAAGTATATTTTTTATGCTGGAAAGGAAAATTAAACTACAAACTTATGCCATGGATAACTGGAATGGGAATTAAGGATTTATATGGGAAATTTTATACCTAAGTACACTAGTTAAAATAGTGCTTTTATTGTGTTGAGTGTAGTATTAATTTAGTTTAAAAAATGTATATTAGCCGTATTTTTTATTTCAGAGTTGTAAACAAACAGCACTAAATCTGGTTGAAATAAATTGGCATCACTTTTAATATACTTAAATTTTTTTTTGACATGTTGTTGTTGTTGTTGTTGTGATTTGATCTTTTGTGGCTGGGGGGCTTATCTCTGCCCCACACTAAACTTCAACTATACTAGAAACATTATCATTTATTTATCTTCTAACTGATGATGGATCGTAGATCAGTATATCTTCATGTGTGTCCTCAGGTGGACTTAAGGTTTGTTAGGGCGGGGTTGGGCAACGTATCAACTTTTGTGAATAATTTTAGGGCTCTGTCCTTGATATATTTATTCACTGAGTCGATTCTTAGATCTCTATGCATGTCTGTTGTTTTAATATACCAAGGAATCTTAATTAGTCTTCCTAAAGCCAGATTTTGTGCTATTTGTAATTGCTTTGTGGCAGTATTTGAGGCTTTGCTGTATGTAATACATCCGTACAGTAGTGCTGGCCTAATTATTTGAGTATATAATAACTTTCTATTTTTGACTTTGAAGCGATTATTATTAAACAGCGGCTTAAGGAGATGTAGAATTTTAGAGCAGCTATTCCGTTTGCATATGGTTGTTGTTGTGTTGTGTACAATATGATATATAAAAATCAAAAACATTAAAAATTATTTAATTTAAATAAAATAAAACAAAATAAATAATAGAAGAGCAATGGTAAGCATTTCTTATCTTATTGTTTTGATATATTGTGTCTTTAGGTCGTGTTTTTAAATTCAAATTTTTATATAACATAATAACTTATATAAAAAACAAACTTAAAATAAAATAAAAATATCACAGCTGTTAACGTATGTAATATACTTTATTAACAGATATTTCGGTCTACTTCGCAAACCATCTGTTTTTCAATGATCTACGACGGATGACTGGAATTTTGTAGGATATTTCCAGTAAACTTTCATAATACTGTGACTTTTGAAAGTGGCTGCACTGAAACTTAAGATGTAAAATTTTTTGCGAGTAAATCCTAACTCTGAAAATTTTAAGAGCATTGTTGTTGCTTCACATGTTTACTATCGCTAGTTGCGAGTATTTCTTGCTACTCTGAAAGAAAAAATTGGGGCTTATATTATAGTTAGCTTTTTATTTTAACATAATATTTTGTATAAAAAAAAGGTAGCAGTACTGGTGATAAAAAATATGATCAAAATGGCTTTTTAGGAATTCAAATGCGAAAGTTGTCGAATGTCAACGGCTTGAAATGAAACGTCACAACTCAACAAGAAAACAGTGATCTCACAAAGATTATTCTGTTTTTAATTCCTGAATATGGAGATATCGAAGGAACTGCAGTAGCAGATGAGATAGCCACAAGAGACTTAGAAATTAACATATGTGGCCGACACCCTAATACGAGCATCGATTTGTCAACTATTCAAAAGCATAGTTGAATTCATCACTATGATGCCGAATAACATATGAACTAATCCCTAGCACCCTAAAAGGAAAATAGATTTTCTAAAAGGAAAATAGATAATTCAGTTCTAAGCCTACCACTTGCAGTCAAAATAAATTACATACGGACAATAAACTAATTAAAAAAATTCAAATATTTTTAAGACCACTGACGATGAGTACTTAGCAATACTCGAAACAGTGTTATATGGTCAGCCAATTTTCAATAAATTAAATAAAATTTTTATTGTTGTCTTTTCATTTCTATTCGAACCGTTTTAACTGTTAAATAGTCTCTTTTCGTCATAAGAGGCGTCACATTCGGCCAAAAAAAAAAAATTAACATAATTTTTTTTCATTTTTTGAAATTTAATTTTTTAGGTCAACTGTTGGTATATACATAATGGAGAGTACTGGATTTAACCTTTATATATATAAATAAATGTTCATATGCATATGGAATATTGTACTTTGAAGATTTGAAGATAAATACATGAAAAATATAGAAAAAAAGGTTATGTTAGCTAATTCCATTACGTTCAAATAATGTGACTGAAGTTTACTTAAATCAGCTAAAACAATTGTGAAATCCGTAAGAAGATGGAGTTTCTTACAAAACACTTACCCAATTATCAATGTCGAGGATATTCATTATGTACCCAAAGCTTAGCTTCAAGTAATAATTCAAAACTGGAATAAGTCAAGTGGTTTACTTAAAACTAAGAAGATAATCACGCTTATGAAAACATAAATTCGCTAATTGAACAATAGGCCGGTACCCAGGATTTGTGAGCTTGTGTCAATGTACAAGTGAAGCAACAACAATGCTCTTAAAATCTTCAGAGTTAGGATATACTCGCAAATTATTTTATTATATATATATATATATATATTTATTATTTTATTATATATATATCGCCTAAAATGTATATATGAATAGCGTTTGAAAATGTACCGAAATTTTAAATTTTATGCAGCAATATGGTAACACTAAACACAATGAGAATCATAATTGTGAAACTACTACCGAACATATGGCCTAATTATTGCTGCAAATACTGTTTCCAGAGGTAACTAAATCATGACGTCGTAAGCGCAAAACGTCTACAGCACAAACTAAAATAAATATTTAAATAAACAAGATGTTTCAATAAAGTTTCATAGACAAATGGATAAAGCTTTGTTTTATATATATTAGATATTTATTTATCCACATGTGTACAAATTTTGTTTATTAAACAAACAAATTCGAATAGGATTTTTTAAACATTATTTTATTTGCGTTTACTCAACAGTTATAACAATTGCTGCCATCTGTTGTTTTATGTAATTAAACAAGTAAAAATTAATATCAATAACAACAAATTAAATAAATTCTTTTTGTAATCTACTTAAATTTTATTTTCATTTTTCAAATTATTTAATTAAGACCCATATAAAAAGTCATCAATTCGAAAATTTTGGTAGAAAGTGGAAAGGGGCCTCACGAGCACAACACGTAAAATGTGGAAAAATTTGCTTCAGCTTGCGTTGTTATTAATATCCTTGGCCAACTGTGTGAACGGACAAGCCAAGATCGTTGGAGGATCAGACTCTCCAATTAGTGCAGCACCATATGCAGTTAATATAAGGCTTAAAAGCACCGGTGAACTGATATGTTGCGGAACCTTAGTGGCTCAGGATATGATTATAACAGCCGCAACCTGCCTTAAAGATAAATACACAGTTGATCAGTTAACTATCCAAGGCAATACCAACGATTTTTCAGCTACTGGTACTAGACGTAATGCCGATTTATTGGTCTATCCATCAGGATTTAATATCACAACCTACAATTTTGATGTGTGCGTGTTAAGATTAAAAACAGCCATGCCTACCACACTCACGCCAGCAGTATTGGCTACAGGTGGGCTATCAGCTGGTCAGCCATTAAAGTTATATGGCTGGGGATTAACTAGTGAAGACGGGTCACCTTCAAATATATTGCAAACTACTACAGTCAATGCAGTAGCAAAAAGTGAATGCCTTCTCTCCTATGAACTGACAGGCACCATGTTTTGTGCAAGTGCTCCAGGTAAGGACGGATGTACTTTGGATTCTGGTGGTCCAGTTATAAATGCAAACGGAAGATTGTCTGGTATTATGTCATGGGGATATGGTTGCGGTCGTACAGATTATCCAAGAGTTTGTACTAGTATGGTGGTATGTGGTGAATGGGTTAACAAGGTCATTTCTAATTATTCTCGCAGTTAATGTGAACAATTATAAAGTTAAAAAACAAAAGTAAAAATTTTAATTGAAATTGAAAAATAATTTGAATTACTTATTAATGCTTAAATTAAGTGTGAGTAAATACCGATACTTATTGAAATGAAAGTAAAGAAAAATTATTGTCAGAAACACTTAAAGTTACTTCTTAAAAATATTATTTGAAATTAGAGTATCTAGAATATCTTAAAATCGATTTATCACAGAAACATTTTTCACTAAAACGCAATCAGTTCTACAAAAACCAAATCGAAATCAGTTTTTTAACAAAACTCAATTCTCTTTTAATAAAAACGAATCCTTTTGAATAAAATGGAAGCGCTTTTAATAAAAACGAATCGTTTTCAATAAAAAAAGAATCGTTTTCTATGAAAAGGAATCGTTTTGAATGATAAGGAATCGTTTTCAATGAAAAGGAATCATTTTCAATAAAAAGGCATCGTTTCCAATGTAAACGAATTATTTTCGTTGAAAAGAAATTATTTCAAATGAAGAGGAATCGTTTCCAATAAAACGAATGATAAGGAATTGTTTTTAATAAAAGGGAGTTGGTTTAGAAGAGGATATTATTTTCCACAATTATCTTAGTAACATTATGAATCTTTTATCTTTCCTTATCTTTACCAGTGGCAAACTTGATAGAAATTGCTTATGTACTGATATATTTTTTTTTATACAAACGACGTACTACCACTACGCTTATCAACACTAACAAGATAATGTTATGTATGGTGAATAGTTATACTGTATAGTGAATAGATAAAGGTACACCATGCACTTTTTGAATGAAATAACTTTATTACTGCTAACAGCTATCAAGATCATGGCATTCGTTAAAGCAAGGTTAACTAGGAAAATATTTGCGGTCGGGTACGTCAAAACTTGTTCCATAACTTAATCCAGTCACAAATGTGTGGAATATGAAAAAATTCATTGTTCTTTGAGACGAGTTATTTTTTCGACACATAGTATATGCGTTACTTTAAATTTTTAAAAAAAGTTATGTGCATTGGTGGGCAATGCACACCAATTAGTTTTAAGTAATTATGTACAGAATAATCTGTTTTTGTAAAAAAATATAAAAAATATTTTATTTAATGAATAAAATCGGAAAAGTAAGGTTAAAAAATTGCTTAAATGGGCTCAAACAATTGTTTAAGTTGTAAGAAGATTGGGATTTTTTCGAAACAAGTTAATGAAATATCAGTGTCTAATGTCATTATGCATCCAAGGCTTAGAATAAATAAAGCAAAACAAGAACAAAAGTTAAGATATATCTGAAACTTACAAGAAAAGTCAGTTTATGAGAACATAGACGACTCACTCACTGAGCAATGGACCTCTGGATAAGCCTTAGGTACTTGGAATTTGTGGAAAAAAACAATACAATCTGTTAAGCTAAAATAAATGCAATTGGTGAGTTGGTTTTATGTGATCTTATTCAAAAATATTAAAACCAAAGAATATTTACCTTAATCGACAGCCAGGTTCACAATAAGTAACTTTTGTCTTATCAAGTAACATTGAAATTTGTTGTAGATTGACTAGAAAAACTGGATGTACCTAGTCGAAAAAATCAAGTTTGTATTCTGTTGGTACCGTTTTATCTTGGGTTTGAAGATAATTGAAAAGTAAACAAGGTTGGCAACACAAAAAGTTGGTAGGCTCAGAAATCTTTAGCGGCCTGAGAAATAGTTATGTATCCCGTTCCTTTTAATATGTTAAAGAAGAAATGCAAATTTCCTTTCTTATTAGGAGAGAAGAGAAAAATAAAGAATATACCAGATTTACCACACATCAACTAGGTTATTCGCTTATAATAATACTAATGCTGATTTTTTTAAAAAAAAAAAGGAAAATTCAGAAATTAAGTTTAAGATATTGATGATCCTACATTTAAAGTTAGTTTTTGTAAAGACTTCTTTGATATCCTATATACTAGCCAAAATTAAATTAATCCTTCGTCTTATGTAATTTTCTGTTTCTTTTTTTTTTAATATATAAACTTTTATTTATGTATCTTCTTTTACAATGAGACTAATAATAAATTTTAAAATCTTATCACTAATTACTTAATATTACAATTTTTATTTTAACTGTTAGGTGGCTTATAAAGAAAATAGTTAAACTTTATCAGATTACTTAAAAGAAGAATGAGGTTTTTACTTAAGGCTATTGAATATTCATTAATGCCTGAACGGTCAGCTCTTTTTAAGCGGGAAGAAATGGAGAGAAGTGAGCGATTCCTTGCTAAGGGATTAACAAATTTTGTTAGCCTTTTAACTTAAATATTTCTTACATTGTCAAATTCAGCTTTAACTAAGAGAATTTATTTATCTCGGTGGATACACTTCATTCCTAATATACTATGGGGCACCAGTGAATGTTCACAGTATTTTTGACTGAGCTCTTTGGATAATTTCAATATTTGAAGCACTACCGTTACCAAATAGCTGGATACTATATTATTAGTTATTATTTTTTATTATATTATATTAAAAGCTTAAATGTGAAATCGCCCACCAGCTGGTACTGCGGCCAGAAGAGACCTATTGTACTAAAAGCTGGACACCATAAGCCCAAGTAGGTTTACTGATGCTAATATACAAGAGTACTTTATACTCTAAGCACAGGGAGGATCTGTTATTGGCTTCAATATGCTTGCGCCAACTTAGTCATCTGTCTAGGTGAATACTTAAGTACGTTATATTATCTGTTTGTGGTATGGGTATGTAATTTAGTGGTATAGGTATGTTGGAGACATACTCCGATTCTATATAACAGTAGAAATTAGTTTAACAGTCTTCGTAAATTGCATGAATATCGAAATTAAAATCGTACGCTTATTTGCTTAAACAAGTAGGAATTACATTATTATTTAAATATATTCAAATTTATAAATAAAAGAATTTTTAGTTAAAAGTTATCATTGCAGTTTTTCTCATTTATTATTTTTTAATAATAAATAATTAATATATTTTTTTGCAAAATTTCTGAAACAAAAGAGAGCTAAGAAATATTTGAACTTTGAATGAAAGTAACTTTTGAAAAATGATTAAGTTTAGGATGTAGAAAAAAATACAAAAACAAAAAATTTAAAGAAATTTGACCAAAAATTGTAGAAAAAAAGAAGTTATAAAGCAAGTACATTAACAAGAAAATAAACCAAAACAAAAACAAAAACAAATAAATAATGAAAACGAAACAGGTTTTTGATTTGTTGTGTGCAGCAGTGAAAGATGAAAATGAAATGTGGGAAAGGAATTTGGAGAGGCGCTGTGGGGCAGAAAAAGAAAATGTCTAAAATATTTGGGTTTTTTCGCTGAACGGTGTTTTTTTCTTCTGACTAATACACACTGTAAGTAAAGTAAATGGTGGGAACTTTTTCTTTAGCATACTAACATAATAACGCACACAAAAACACAAGTATGCACAAACACATTAACAATACGCACGTTTATTTTCTCTTCTTTCTGGCTCAAATAATTGTAACTTT